CCCCATGGGATCATCTCACAAACTCACAATATTCTCCTGCAGGGCCCTCTGTACCACACAGTCTGGAGTGGCTCCACCTCTCCTCTTGGAAATTGAAAGGTGGCCATTAGAGAGCCATGACTATCAATCCAAGGTCATAGACATTATCTTGGCTTCCAGACAACCTTCTACCCATGGAATCTGTGACACTGAAAACATGCTTAAGATGGTGCAGAAGAAAGATAAGTCAAGTTTCAGCTTCCATTCCAGAGATGCTTCACTTCCTCCAGAATGAAGCAAGGCTTTTACCCCAAGACTCTTGTCATCAGGTGATGGCCCTATCTGCAGTTCTCTTCAAGCACAGTCCCATCAAGTGGTTTCTTAGAGCAGTTTCAGTTACATCTCTGTCCCTTCCTTTTTTCTTACAACTTGTTCAATGTGTACGTCTGGACAGTCAGGCCCAAGTTGTTTAATGCAGCACATGTCAGTCCAACTCAGTCTTGAAAGAGCAGTGCATCTACAGAATCACACTACAGAAGATGAAACATTTTACCAGTTGTACAAGGGGGAGCACCAATCGCTATGCAGATGCCAGCCTCAATTTATCTTGTTGGGTTTTTTTACAAAATTTATATCCTAACGTTTTGCCCTTACAGGGGTCACCAAGGAGGCTAATAAATTAAAATATACATGATATGGTCATGTTTTAAAACCAGCCCCAAAGCCCCATACATCATTAAAGCATTAAAACAGAGCTAAAATACATAGAAAGGCATCAAAAGAAAATAAAACATTGGGCAGGAAGGAGGGTTCACTGAGATGCCATTCACTGGCAGAAGGTACAATGGGGGGGACAGACTAATCTCCCTGGGGAGAAAGTTCCAGAGTTTTGGTGCCACAACAAAGAAGGTGCTCTCTTGGGCTGCCACCCACTTAATCTCAAAAGGTGGGCAGCACCAAAAGCAGGGCCCCTAAAGATGACCATAGTGGTTGAGTGGGTTAAGGAAGTAGGTGGTCCTTCAAGTATGTTGACCCAAATCATATAGGGCTTTTAAAGTCAAGACCAGCACCTTGAATTGTGCCCAGAAACAAAATGGGAGACAGTGTATGTGGTCAAAGACTGGAGTGATATGGTTCCAATGACCCACTCCAGTTGACATCCTGGCTGCAGTGTTTTGTACTGAAGTTTCTGAATGCTTCTCAAGAGCAGCCCCGCATGGAGCACATTGCAGTAATCGAATCTAGATGTAAACAAGGCATGTACCACAGCATCCAGATCTTTTCAGTTAAGGCTATAGCTGGCTAGCCAGTCAAAACTGGTAACAAGCAGTCCTGGCCACAGATGTGTATGAAGCAACAGTGGGTCCAAGAGCACCCCCACATTATGGACCTGTTTCTTCAAGGGGGGTGCAACCCCATCCTGAATGGGTGACACCTTAAATTCAAGGTCAGACCTTCTGCCCATCAGTAGCACTTCCATCTTGTTGGGACTGAACTTCAGTTTATTAGCCCACATCCATTCCAAAACTGTCTCCAGGCACTGGTTCAGGGTTTTTGCAGCTTCTCTGGGATCAGCTGGAAGCATGAAATAGAGCCAAGTGTCAGATCTCCTCATCTAGTGATTTGATGTAGATGTTAAAGAGCTTAGGGGTAAAGTGGAATATTGTGGCACCCCAAAGGCCAAGGGCCAGAGTAGCAGGTAGGACCAGAACCACTGCATAACATTGGTTCTCAGTCCCAGCTACCACTGCATAACATTAGCTCTCAGTCCCAGCCTGGAAAGGCAGTCCAGAAGAATACTATGATAAATAGTATCAAAACCTGTTGGGAGGTCCAAGAGAATCAATAGAGTCACACCCCTCTGTCCTACAACAGTATTTTTGTTGTTGTTGTTCAGTCACACAGTCGAGTCCGACTCTTTGCGACCCCATGGACCACATCATGCAAGGCCCTCCTATCTTCCGCCATCCTCTGGAGCTTGCTCAATTTCATGTTTGTTGCTCTCTAACCATCTCATCCTTTGCTGTCCACTTCTTCTGTTACCTTCAAACTTTCCCAGCATCAGGGTCTTCTCCAGTGAATGCTCCCTGCTCATATGGCCAAAGTATTTGAGCTTAAGCTTCAGTTTCTGTCCTTCTGGGGAGCAGTTACATTTAATTTCCTTTATGATTGACTGATTTGATCTCCTTGCAGTCCAAGGAACTCTCAAGAGTCTTCTCCAGCACCATAATTGAGAAGCATCTATTCTTCAGCGCTTGGCCTTCCGTATGGTCCAACACTCACAGCGATACATTATTACTGGGAATACCATTGCTTTGACCATATGGACTTTGGTTGGCAGGGTGATGTCTCTACATTTTATTAGGCTGTCTAGGTTTGCCATCGCCTTCCTCCCAAAGAGCAAGCATCTTTAAATTTCATGGCTGCAGTCACCGTCTGCAGTGATCTTGGATCCCAGGAATGTGAAGTCTGTCACTGCTTCCATTACTTTGTTGTGATCCACACAGTCAAAGGCTTTAGCATAGTCAATGAAGCAGAAGTAGATATTTTTCTGGTACTCTCTTGCTTTCTCCATAATCCAGCGAATGTTGGCAATATGATCTCTCGTTCCTCTACCTCTTCGAAACCCAGCTTGTACTTCTGGTAGTTCTCTATCCACGTACTGTTGAAGCCTAGCTTGTAGGATCTTGAGCATGACCTTGCTAGCGTGTGATATGAGTGCAATTGTGCGATAGTTTGAACATTCCTTGGCGTTGCCCTTCTTTGGGATTGGAATGTATACTGATCTTTTCCAATCCTGTGGCCACTGTTGCGTTTTCCAAATTTGCTGGCAAATGGAGTGCAGAACTTTAACAGCATCCTCTTCTAAGACTTTGAATAGCTCAGCTGGGATACCATCACCTCCACTAGCTTTGTTGTTAGTAATGCTTTCTAAGGCCCATTTAACTTCACATTCCAGGATGTCTGGCTCGAGGTCAGTGATTATACCGTCGTGGTTGTCAAGGACATCGAGGTCTTTCTTGTATAGTTCTTCTGTGTATTCTTGCCATCTTTTCCTAATCTCTTCTGCTTCTGTTAGGTCCCTACCGTTTTTGTCCTTTATCATGGCCATCTTTGCATGGAACGCTCCCTTGATTTCTCCAATTTTCTTGAAGAGATCTCTAGTCCTTCCCATTCTATTGTTTTCTTCTATTACTTTGCACTGTTCATTCAGGAAGGCCTCCTTATCTCTCCTTGCTGTTCTCTGGAAATCTGCGTTCAGTTGGGTAAATCTTTCCTTTTCGCCTTTGCCTTTCGCTTTCCTTCTTTCCTCTGCTATTTGTAAAGCCTCATCAGACAGCCACTTTGCTTTCTTGCATTTCTTTTTCTTTGGGATGGTGGTGATTGCTGCCTCCTGTACAATGTCATGAACCTCCATCCATAGTTCTTCAGGCAATCTGTCTATCAAATCTAGTCCCTTAAACCTATTCTTCACCTCCACTGTATATTTATCAGGGACGTGATCTGGGTCAAACCTGAATGGCCTAGTCAGGTTTTCCCAACTTTCTTCAGTTTAAGTCTGAATTTTGCAATGAGTAGCTCATAATCTGAGCCACAGTCAGCTCCAGGTCTTGTTTTTACTGACTGTATAGAGCTTCTCCATCTTTGACTGCAAATGATATAATCAATCTGATTTTGGTGTTGTCCCATCTGGTGATGTCCATGTCTAGAGTCGCCTCTTAGGTTGTTGGAAAAGGGTGTTCGCTATGACCAGTGTGTTCTCTTGACAAAACTCTGTTAGCCTTTGCCCAGCTTCATTTTGTTCTCCAAGGCCAAACTTGTCTGTTACTCCGGTTACCTTTTGATTTCCTGCTTTAGCATTCCAGTCCCCTATGATGAGGAGGACATCTTTTTTGGGTGTTATTTCTAGGAGCTGTTGTAGGTCTTCACAGAACTATGATCCGCTTCAGCCTCTTCTGCGTCAGTGGCTGGGGCATAGACTTGGATAACTGTGATGTTGAATGGTTTGCCTTCAATTCAGACTGAGATTATTCTGACGTTTTTGATACTGTATCCCATTACTGCCTTTCTTACTCTCTTGTTGACTTGAGTATACAACAGTATACTCCCTATCCTAACCCCACTATTGAACATACTAATTAGTACAGTAAGGTTTATGAGACAAAGGAGGGTATGAGCACTTCAGATTTTAGTTTGAACTGGAACTCACCAAAGCCCTAGCTGAAGGAGTGAAGTAATACCAAGCAAGGAGGCCTTTGGCTGTACATAGAACTCAAAGGCTTTCTCTCACCACTGGGTGACTAACTACATACAATCAAACCAGCCCAAACTAGACTAAAAGTTGCTGGTTCCAGAAAAGAGACTCTCAGCAGTCCCAGCACTTCGACTTTCAGGAAGTAACATTTTTCAGAAGTTCTGAAAACAAAATGAATGACAGCATATACAGAGTATATTTATTATTTCTCAAATGTAAGTTACCATTATAGCCTGAAGACTTGGTTTTCTTTGGGCAATTAAGTTTATGGGTGGGGAGCTCTATCTGTCTCCCTTAAGTAGGTATTCTGTTTAATAACTGAGTTACTGAAGGAGTTGCTTTCCTTTCTTCATCTTTTCAAAGGTAGAGACAAGGCTGAAGGACAACGTATTCCCCCTTAACACTAAGATGAACTTCTCTCAGTGTTCTGCTGCTATGTCCATGTGAATACTCTTCTCAAGGCTTCCCTCTCTTAATAGAAAATGGCTGCCTCTTAGGTTTGGAAAGAAATGAGCATTTTTCTTTTAAACCACCCTGGATTCATTCTGTTGTCAATGGGTGGTGGTGGGGGACTGGGAGATTTAGAGACAAACTTCTTCAGTTGTGCATTGATAGCCATTAGATGTCTTCATCTGAGAGATAAATTGACAGGTCAGGGTTTTTTTTTCTCCTTGGGGAAGGAAGATTGACAGGTCTGGCCCATGAAATAAAGACAAATTCTAAAGTTAAAGGAGAACAGAGAACAGCTGTCAATCTTGAATTTTAGATTCCCCAGCAAGAAGTCCTGTGAAAATGAAAGTAATTGAAAAGGATTTGTCTATTCAAGCAATCCAGTGTCGGAAAGCTTCAGTAAGCAAAGCTTTATCGTCCTCAGATACAGGTAAGCTGCTGCTTCTTCTTCTTTCTTTTTTTGCTTTAGCTGTACATTGAGTTAAATTAAGCAACACTTATTAAATGGTGATGGTTGCAGCACAACAAATATGGACTTGTATATGGATTGTTTTTTAGGTTAGTTCACATGGTAACTTCAGTGATGGGGCAGAGTGCAAGGAATCTTTTCTTAAATATCCATGTAGTGACATGGTCTCGTGAAGAGTTGATACATCCCGAAAAACGCACAAAGAAAGCCTTTTTATAATATGGTATCTCTTCACATTTAAGATTTCTGTAGTTTTTAAATTTTAAATCAGTGCTCTTTATGAGTGTTTAGACATCGAGAACAATCCTAATCAGGTCTCCTGGGAAAGAAGTCCTATGTTATCCAGTGTGCCATGTTCCCAGGAAAGTGTTTTGCAGCCTTAGTCTTTTAGGTGGTGGTGTAAGCGTTTGTCCCCCAACTTTGGGTTACTCCTACGCTCTCCACATGGGTTCAACCCCCCCCCCATGTATAGGCAGTTATTGTCATAATCAACCCAGTGTGCAATACAGTTCTATTTAGAACTCTTGTCAAATTAACAGGAGGTAACTGGTGGAAATAATTGTGTAACAACACTGCAGCCTTCTCTAACAGTCTTGGGAAGCAGCCAAGACTCAGGGAGAATCTGCATTACATGTTCGTAATACCTGCTTTAATTAGATTTTTATTGGTATCTTGCTTGAGTTGAAGAAAAGTTGGGAAAAAACATTTAACATAAATTCACTTGTACTGTGCTGTGTGTATTTTAAAATGCTGACAAATAAATGAAGTCTGTACTCCTAAAGAGCTGTTTCCATGAGCACAGTTAATATTTTAAAAATTAACACTGAAGAGCAAATTATTGGTTTAGCATCCTGGGGTGTTGCTTGTTTTAGAAATAATGAGCTTTCTACTGAGATCAAAATCTTTCTGCTTTGAGTCCCTGTTTCCAGTTATTCTCTTAAGCACATTCTTTTCAGAGTTACTGGTGTTAAATGGCACAGATCCTGTTGCTGAAGTAGCCATTCGACAGCTGAGTGAATCTGCAAAGCAGAAGCTCAAGTCTCCCAGGAAGAAAAGCACGATCATTATATCAGGGGTTTCAAAAGTAAGATTAATAATAAACATTCTCAGCTTCAAAGAGAGTTCCACCTCCAATGAATTGTATTATAAAAGAACTTTCATCTTATTTCCCTTAGAACTCTTGAATATACTGAAATTGCAACTAAACACTATATTCCCAGGCTTAATCCTTGACAAAAGGCTAACACTCCTTAGAAGCACCAGAAATTCGTGCGTGCTGGCTGTTAGAAGAAGTCTTCTCATTTAAAGTGGTGTATTGAGAGAAGGCAGACATCTGTACTGTGGTCAGATCAGAACCCCCAGTGTGGGTACTGGATTTAATCTCTCAGAAATGAAGAACAAAACCAGTGTCAGCCAAGTTTTGCATCAAGAATTTCAGAGTTTGACATGACACTTGCACTTTACATATTTACTAGCATGACTGAAATTCATGTTGTTATGCACTAAGAGTTTGTGCTGTGATGATGTCATAGGTATTCTGTCCGCAGAAAGAATGAAACTGTTGGCAATAAAATTATTTCCCCAGCTTTTCTTAGAGAAATGAAAGGGCAATATGGCTGAGAAAAGACAATACAGCAGAAGCATGGACAGGAAATAGACAACTAAGTGGAAAGGGAATGAAAGTGATGAGGGGGCAGAGGGAAGACTGCTTAAAAAAAGGCAAGAGGGTAGGCAATGGGCTTAGAAAGAGCAATGTGACAAGAGGAAGAGACTTGAAAAGAAGCTAATAAGACGGGGAACTATGGAACATGTGGGGCTTGAGAAGTGCTAGGCAAGCAGTATGTTGTGGTGGCTACTGGAAATGGGACAGTGAGCTGAAAATCAGGGGTCTGAGTTAATGACAGCAATGGAGGCATGGATCTGAAGATGAGAGGAACCCAATAAAAAGTGAGACTGGTGCAAGTCTTTGTATAGGACCTTGGGTTCATGAAGTGCTGTTTGCTATTGGCAAGGAAGGAAGGGGATTGGCAAAGGAACTTTCAAACAGTAGCCATGACGTTCCTTAAGAGGGTTCCTGTACCTTTGAGGGCTTTATAGTCAGACGTACTACATGAGTTGTGCCCTATCTGGTCAATCCAGCTTGGTGACTTGACACCCATAAGGGACAAAGGGAACTGAATGTAGCATTGATTTGGAATAACAAGCTAATTAAAAAACATAAGGGCCCTGCTGGATCAGACCAGTGGTCCATCTGATCCAGCATCCTGTCTCACACAGTGGCCAACTAATTCCTCTGAAGGGCCAACAACAGGGCATAGAGGTCAAGGCCTTCCCCTGATGTTGACTCCTGGCTCATACTCCAGGAAGTGGATCCAATTTGAGTCCCAGTCCAAGGGGTCGTTGCCCTTTACATGCCCCTTACCTTTAGTCTTGGAATATCTGTTTTCCTTACCCCATAAGGGATTGGCTGTGTCTTCTGTGACGGTCCACCTAGCAGCCATTTTGGTGTATCACAAAGGTGTCGGGGGTTCTTTTCTATTCACCCGTAAACTGTCCCAGTGTTTTCTCAAGGGCTTGCTCAATGTGTTTCCCCTGCTCCTTACATTGTTCTGCAGTGGTCTCTCTTGCTCATGCTGGTTAAGTTAATGAAGGCTTACCTTTGAGCCTTTGGCTTTGTGCCCTCTGGGCTTGCTCTCTGGAAAAGTGGCTTTCCTGGTAGTAGTAACCTGGACTAGGAGAATGAGCAAATTAGCAGCTCTGAGGGCAGACCCCCAATCCCTGAAGGTTTTTAATTAGAAGGTTGTGCTCCACCTCTAGAGTTCCTTCTAAAGGTTGTTTTGAAGTTTCACCTAGCTCAGGAGATAGTGTTACCAATGTTTTTTCCGTCTCCTGGTTCTAAGACCGAGGAAGCCCTTCATACTCTGGATGTCAGGAGGGCGCTATTGTACTTCATTGAGAGAACAAAATGATTCAGAGTAGATAGGGCCTTGTTCATGTGTTGTTGGGCTCAAAGAAAGGAAAGGCTGCTCTTTCTCAGTCCCTGTCTAGGTGGGTTGTAAGTACCATCCAATCCTGTTATGAGGCATCTGGGAAACCATACCTGCTGGACATTAAGGTGCATTCTATGAAGGCATAAGCTCCCTTGGCTGCTTTCCATAGGAAGGTCCCACTTGTGTACATATGCAAAGCTGCATTGTGGTTGGCAGAAGACAGATTTGTAAACCATTATGCATTGGACTTGCAAGCAAGGAAGGATGTGGGCAAAACAGTTCTCCAGTAGCTTTTCCAGTGAGAGCTTCACCCCACCTCCTTCAGTGAGTAGCCTGCTCAGGTCCCAATGTGGGGCTGCATTGAAGACAGAAGATGAAAACAGAGTTGCACTCACCTGTAACTATTGTTCATAGTCATCTTCTGTGCAGGCACACATTCCATCCCTCCTGTCCTACTGTGAGCTCTCACATGGTTGTTCTATAGTAGTGTATTTTGCTTGTAGTGGCCTGGCAAGAATTAAGGGAAAGGGGATGCCCGCCTCCAGAACACATGATGGTTTGGGTGGGAAAAGCGGTTCACTTCAGCTCCTAAGGGGGAGTGGTGCTGCTTCAGATAGCTTTTAGGTGGAAAAAACCTTAACCACAGCTGGCCTGTGCAGCATGGAAGACATTGATGAACAACAGTTACAGGTAGCAACTCTGTTTTCCTAACCTGTGGAATGTATTCTATTTGGGCTTCAATTCATGTGGTTTCAAATAGCTTCCAAGCATCCTCTAGGGATTTGACTCTCTTGTGTTTCCCCTTCAGCTTCCTTTTTACTATTCCCCTCATTTTTTTAAAGTTCCCTCTTTTGAAATCAAATGTTACTGTTTTGGAACTTTAGGGGTAACTCCATTGACCTGAATGCTGAACTTAATAGCACTGTGGTCACTGTTCCAAATTGGTGTAACAACCTCTACATCTCTCACCAGGCCTTGAGACTCGCTCAGAACCAAGTCCAAGATCACTCCTCTCTGGTTGGCTCTGTGACCAACTGTTCCAATGCACAGTCATTAATGATGTCTAGGAATTTCATTTCTACGGCATTACTCAAGCACATGTTTACTCAGTCAGTGTGAGGGTAGTTGAAGTCTCCCAGTATAATAACTTTCTGCTTTAGTTCCCGCCCTTATTTTGTTCTCCATCTCAAGATCAGCCTCAAGAGTTTGATTAGATGGATGATACTACACCCCCCACTTTTAAGTAACCCTTAGGGCCCAGTAATTCCACCTATATCATTTCTGTTGGGGAGTTAATTCCCCTGAAGTTTTCTAACTTACTTGATTCGATGCTCTCTTTGATGTACAATGCAACACCACCACCAACCCATCTTTCCCTGTGCGTCAGATCTTGGGTCCAAGTATTCTCACAACACTCTTGAGGTAGCAAGATTTGTTTATTGAGAGTTACAGGTCATTCAAGCATATACAGAGTTCATGTTGGAACTGTTGGCCCTAGGCTAGGGCCAAACCTATACAGAGTGTGGGACCACCTCTGGTTCCCCAAGTGCCCAGTCATCCATTCCCATACAGCCCGCTGAAGCTTCAAGCTCAACCCCATGGCCGCCCCCAGCACTTGCAAATTAACCGTTATATGTAAAATGATGATGATTGAGTGCACTGGTTGTTGACTGTAACAATAAATTTGATTGATTGAACTGTTATATTAGCTATGCTTGCAAGGTCATGCCGATCGCTACAAGCCCTAAGCCAGTGTAGCAAAGATTCACACACTCACTCCCAAAGGATGCACATAAACGAAAGCAGTGGGAAAAGTCAGAGAGGAGGAAAGGAGTTAACCCTTGATTTAACAGAACATGGAAATCAACCCATGAAAAGTGAGGCACAAGCTTGACATTCTGCCCACCCTCAGGTAGCAGGCTTGTGAGAGTATTTTTATGGAAAGTGTGAACCAAACGTTTAGCGTTAACATGATCCTCCTGAACCCACTCGTTCTGGCTAGGGTCAAAGTCACACCACTTGATCAGATACTACAGCTGGCCCTGTTTGAGTTTAGAATCCAACAGTTCCAACACATGACAAGCGAGGCACAAGCTTGACACTGTGCTGCCTATAGAGTTTATACCCAGGAATGATTGTATCCCATAGCTTTTCCCCATTCCACCATGTTTCTGAGATACCTACTATATCTAAATTGTCATTGAGCACCAAGCACTCCACCTCCCCTATCTTGGCTTGGAGACTTCTAGCACTGGCATATAGACATCTATAATGTGTTTCCCTTTCCAGTAACCTTCGCCTCCCTCAGCCCCTTAATCACTATACATGGCCCTCAGTGGCCATTGTGCCCTCTCTCCCAAGTTCTATTATGCTTCTGTCACTATAACCCTGAGTATTTACATAATCATCCCTTTGGACTGACTTGTCCCAAAGCGGAGGCCCCCAGCTCCTGTCGGCTTCCCCACTGGGATTAGTTTAAAAGCTGCTCTGCCACCTTTTTGATATTTATCATCAGCATCCTGGTTCTATTTTGGTTCAAGTTAAGCTCATCTCTTTTGTATAGGCAGGGATCATTTCGTAGAAAAAGAGGTGCAGGAGCTCATTAGCAGAACTCATTAGCATACCTTATTTGCATTTGCCACACCACCTGGCGTCACTGGAAGTGTGTCAGAAGGCAACACCCACTCCAACTTACCTGGCTGCTTCTTGCTCCTCGTGGCCTGGGGCTGCTGGGAGCAGGGGGTGGGGCTTCTTGCATGTGCCCGCCCCCTGTGCTCTTTACTGCCGGAGCTCCGCTCCTGTGCGCTCCTGCAGGAAATGACCCCTGTGTATAGGTTTGGCATGTTCCGAAAAGTTCCTCCAGTTCCGCCTAACAAATCTAAACCCTTCTTCCCGGCACCACTTTCTTATCCACACATTAAGACCCCTCATCTGTGCCTATCTAGCTGGCCCCGTGTGTGGAACCGGCAGCACGTCTGAGAATGGTACCATTGAGGTCCTGGCCTTTAACTTTCTACCTAGTAACCTAAATTTTTCCTCCAGGACCACACGACTACATTTCCCCATGTCATTGGTGCCAGTATACACCATGACTGCTGACTTCTCCCCAGCACTATCTATCAACCTATCTAGACAGTATGTGCTGCCTGCAGTCTTCACACCAGGCAGGCAAGTCACCATGCAGTCAAATGCCCATCACAGACCCCACTCTCTATATTCCTAATGATCAAATCACTCAGTTCCAGAAGGGCATCTCCCCCCAGCCCCCCAGGGGTACCCTCAGTACAAGAGGACATCAGTCCATTGCTCAAGGAAGGGGTCCCTTCTAAGGGATCCCATCCCTCCTACTCAGACTGACACCCTCCAACCTTGAGACTTTCACTCTCCACAGCAACGGAAGAGCTGTCAGCACAGGAGTGGGACTGTTCAGGTCAGACCTGATGGTTTCTTCTCCAAATCTTTGTTTCTGCTTCAGCTACTTCACATTGGCAACCCTAGCCTCAAGGGGACAAACCTGCTCCCTGAGAGCCATAAGCATCATGCACCTAGCAGAAACTTATGATTTCCACCCAGTGGGTAGATAATCGTACATGTGGCACTCTGCAAAATACTGGAGAGCCCCTGCTCCCCTGCTGGCTTTCTAACTAGTTTGTGATTTAAAGGTATCTAGAGTGCTGCAGGATCCTTGGACCTGATTTACAGTCTAAGAGTGATAGGTCAAGAGCCATTTGATTCTCACCCTTCGGCTTGTGCCAAAGGCTCATGCCTCTGCTTAAAAAGCTCAAAAGCTAGTCAAATCCAACTCTAGCAGGCAGTGCTCATCTCCGCTTCCAAGCCAAAGAGCCAGCGCTGTCCGAAGACCTTTCCATGGTCATGTGGCCAGCATGACTAAATGCCGATGCGCACGGAACGCTGTGACCTTTCCACCAAAGCGGTACCTATTTATCCACTTGCAATTTCTTGCTTTCGAACTGCTAGGTTGGCAGGAGCTGGGGCCAGAGACAGGAGCTCACTCTGTCATGTGGCACTAGGGTCTCGAACTGCCGAGCTACATACCTTCTGGTCTGCAGCTCAGTGTCTTCTCTGAGCCACCACGGCCCTACATGCCTCTGCTTAGGAGGAGCCTTACAGTTTAGAGGCCCACAGCCCCTGCCTCCCAGCAGCAACAGCAGAGAGTGGAGCCTGCAATCAGTCCCAGGGAAATAGACCTTGCTCAGTGAGCAACAGACCAGACAAAAGACCCAAACAGACCCAGACAAAAACACCACTCACCAGCAAGTTACAATCTCCCACTCACTCAAACTCTGTCCTCTCACAAAGCAATTGCAGTTAATGCTCCCCAGTAGTTTAGCAGCTGAGGAAAGGCAAAACACACCTTCCAAGTAGCTCCCTCCTGGGTTCTTTCTCCCAGCCAAGTGGGCTCAGTTTATGTGACAACAACCTCTACGTGTTGAAGAAAGACATATATATTAATAGGGTTGTTACTAATAGAAGTGGTAGCTCTTTGTTATGACATTGGCAAAGAGGAGCACACACAATCAAGGGTCAGTGGCTGTGGAGTCTAAAGAATTGCACAACTCTGTTTAGAACCCCAAGGGGAATTCACATTCATATTCCTCAAAGAGCAGTGCCCCCCTCCAACATCATGAAAAACAAAGTAATTTAATTGGAAAAGAAAATTTGATTTGATAATTGGAAAAGAAAATTTGATTTGATAATTGGAAAAGAAAATTTGATTTGATAAAGAAAAGGGGGAGTACAAATTATGTTGACTTTAGTATGTTTTCTCTCTCTCTCTCTCTTTTTTTTAAATTGTTCCAGACTAATTTATCTCAGGATTGTGAAGCTGCCCTCATGATGGACTATGCAGCAGCCATGGATGGCTCATATGTACAGAATGACACTACTGCTCTGAAGGAGTCTGTTGCACAATCCCCTCCTGATGAAGAACTGTCATTGTCTGCATCCCAAACACTACCTTCACATGAAGACACCCAGGAAAACAGCCATGATGCCTGGACCCTAGATGACAGCAGCCAGCAGTGGCAGAGCAATGCACTACTAGACCATGACTGTGATAAGGTGTCTGAGAGCTCCATAAGCATCTCGGAATCTGGAACTGTGAAGAAATCCAAAGGTATATTTTTCACTTTCTCTTTCAAAGGGTAGCCATAACAAGTCCTCTCATTAAATGGTTTTAAGTCGTCTTATGATTAACATTGCAAACAAGCTTTAAAACCTTGAACTTCTCACTGTTCAGTTTTGCCATGAGGATGGCTTTCACACATACGGCTTTTCCACATGTTCCCCCACCCCCATTGGTTCTGGCCCCATACTGCTTTGGTTTATCTGCTCACATGCATTTTGTGTCTTAATTTTTCACTTCAAGTTTTTTTGTTTTCCCCCATCCCCCCCCCCCCCCCCCCCCCCCCCGGTTATTTTGAGACCAGTTTTACCCTGATTTTTTTTTGGAAGCTGATTTTGAGTTGGCTTTTTTCTTGTGCATAATGGTTTTGTTGGTTTTCTTTGTCCCATCCACTCCCACCCACCTCCAACCTACTGTTCACAACTGTGAAAATGCCTAGTGAAGGCAGATGTGCAGAAGAACTCTGCCCAAATGAATTCCACTGCTTGTGGATTGACTCCCAAGAAAACCAGGACTCAGTTGAGCACGCAGAAATGCCCATAAATAAGATCTTCATGTGTTGAAAACTTTTCCTTTTCTTTCTACTCTGTTCCTTGGTAATCAGTTCTGCACCATATCCATAAGTGGTACACTTGAAAGAATGGTTTTGGCAAATAAGTCCATATAAAAGGGCTTTGGGGGAGTGTTTGAATGTATTCATCTATTTAGCTTTTTAGATATGAACAAGATTTTCTTGGTTGTTCCCCATTATTTGGTGCCTTGCTTTTATAATGAGCTTTTAGTGTAAAACTTCCACATATTTTTGCATTTGGCTTAGTTGTGTTTATAAACACACTGACACTATAAGCACATTCTGATTTCTTACTGATTTAAAGAACAGTCTTTAGAGAATTCTAAATAATTGTACTTGAAGAGCTGTTTTATATATAGTAAGTTCCACAAACTATTAGAGAGCATACTATGCATGTGTTTACTTGTGGCGTACTGCATTGTTTGTGAGATTGGCCCACAATCTTTTGAAATTCTGTGTATTTCCTATGGACATACAGCTGCCTGTTCACCACAACAGGCAGGATCCGATGGTTCCCTAACATTGACAGAGGAATCTTCCTGAAAACAGAATGACTCCTGCTATTGGAAGATTCTTTTGTCAGTGGAAGTACACTAGGGGTGTACATTTGGCATAACAGAGCCCGAAAAATACCTGAAAAAACATTACAAGTATTTTTCAGGTATTTTTTTTGTTGACCAAGGCTTAATTTTGGCTATCCAAAATGGCCAAGCTCCCAAAATCCTGACAATATTTGGAAGTTTTGGGACTACTGGATAGCTGAACTTAAAGGGCATTTAAAGTGATTGTGGTCCCTTGAAATGCCTTCTCCAAGCTGTACAGCTATGCAGCAAGTGAACTCTAAAGGCGTTTAAAGGGATCACAGTCCCTTTAAATGCCTTCCAGGTGAACTCGCTGCTTGGAGGTGTTTAAAGGGACTGAGCCCTTTAAACACCTTTGGAGTTCACTTGTTGCAGAGTCTTGTTTGTTGGTGAAGGCATTTAAAGGGACCACAATCCCTTTCAATGTCTTTTTTTTCTCCATTGAAAGCAATGGAGGATTTAGGGGCACCTTCTCTGGGGGTCCATAGAATTGGAGGATTTTTGAGAGATTGGCCCACAATTTTGAGACTTGGAGGGGTTTTTTTTTTTAGGACAACCACCAGCGGCTATGCTGCAAATTTGGTACCTCTACCTCAAAAAACAGCCCCCAGAGCCCCAATACAACAGCCTCTAGAAAGAGGCTCTGGGTGGGTGCCCCGGCCTTGGACACTTAGTATCAATTTGCTGTGGCGACCTCAGCAGGGAACAGCAAAATGTTTAGAATGTTGGAGGCAGGACTCAGGCAAAGCAGCCAGTGGATAGGGAGACCCTCTGAATGACAGATCAGAGAGCAAACTGATTTTGGAGCGTGTGGAATGCTCTAGAGAAGCGCCACCACCATTCGGCTTTTATTTATAAGGGAGATAGGGACCATTGTTTATAATCGGGTTTCCTGAATATTTACTGAATCTGATTGCCCTACGGAAATTGGGGTTCAGGAATATTGAGGAATACCGATATTTTTCAGGTTCAGTATACCTGAATCCGAAAAATACCAATTTTTTGCACACCCCTAAAGGACACTTTAGATCCAAACCCATATATACAAGTGGTCTAAACAGGATATAGAGCACTTTCATTCAAAGTGATGCATGACATACAATCATACCACTTTGTAGTGTGTGAAGCAGTCCTAAGAGCAGAGCAAAACTGTAGAATGCAAGAGGACAGCTTGTCACTCTTTGAATGAAAATAATGTGTTCATGTAATGTAAAGGTTGTTTTAAAAGGTTCATCACTGTGGGAACTCTAAAACTATATATAATATGATAGCATTGCAATGTGAGTAGCTATTCTGTTTGTATTTAGTGTTAAAAATTCAACAGTGGTTTTCAAGTTATCTTAGTTTTCTTTTTTGATAGGAACAATACTTTTGACAAACAAGTTTTAAAGTTAAACCACAGCTTCAGGTTCAAATTAGTTGTTACAAAATTCAGTATAACTTTCAATTTGCATATTTGAGGTTTAATTATTTTTACTTCTTCCTATCTTTCTTACCCATTCTGTTTGTAAAATTAAGAGGACCACTATGATACCCAGAATTAATTGCCTCCACAGTAAGTTATTTCTTTTTGTTTTTGAGAACCTGTAGTTTTACTGAGAGACACTTAATGGGACAGTGAAACCAATGTTATTAACCTGCATCTGTTTCTGTGACTGTTTTTCCCTCCCCAAAGTTCCCTAGGGACAGATCTTAAAATAGGCTGTTCATATGAGATGGCTAAACTACACTCATTTGTTAAAGAAAAAACTAAGACATCAGGCTGTATCTTAAACTCCACTCTCCCAACAGAAGTACTGTTTACATCAACAGGAATATCCACCATCCGTGAACTGGAGTCATAAGATTCAGTACCTGGCATGGTGATTAGGTCTTGGAAATTTTAGTTTCCAAGAAATTTCCATCTGAGGCCAAACTACATGTTATGAAGTCTCATCATGTGGTCTGCCTCTATCACACGTAGAGGGTGGGATGCAGTCTGAAGTGCCTGAAGGACAAGTGGCTGGGTGGGATGTATGCCTCTGCTGAATAATCCCTTCTCTGATATTAATCTTCCTGCCCCTGCAGTTTGTTCCCTAAAGTCTCTTTTTCCCTCTAGCTTGGGTCCAGTATCCGCAATAGGCTTGGCTGGGTGAAAGATTCCTGTGGGGAGGGAAAGATAGTATGTGGAGAGGATTCAAAAACTCCTGCCTGCATGCCTTTTGGCACATTTTAACCACAGAACGCCTCCATAAAGATAGTTACTAGTGTTGCATGTAGTTTGAGTATGAACTGGCAAATTGCCTGTTAATCTGGAGTCTCAGTCTTCCAAATTATATAGCATGAATCAATTGGATCTAAAACTGTGCAACTATGGCATGATTCAGAGATGTATGCAAGCAGAAGCTTCTGTCAACTATCTAAGAAATGGCTCTGTGAATGTGATGAGAGGCTCCCATATGCATGTGCAATGTTTTCTCTCAATGCTGCACATTTTATACTTGGCTGCCAAGTAAGAAATAAACATGTATTGTCTCAGATGAAGAATTCCTGTGCATATAAATTGGCATCTTCCCTTCACAGAACACACACACAGCTGAGGGAATTGGGCTGCTGTTCATGTTTGAAAGGGGGAAAAAACTTATTGCATTCATAAGTGAGGGGCACGTGCATGCACAAGAGTGTATTTTGTTCTCTAACATTAAGAAGTGACTCGGAGAAAGAAATACAGGAGGTACATGAGCACTACACATGTTCACAGGGCCTTTCCCTTGCATGGCTTTTGTACATCTTTAATTCCCAAGCAGTGCTTAATTTCTAGCAAGAGAGGTGCTGGAGTCCAAGCTCACCTGGATCTGATTTCTTCTATTCTGTAAGGCTGTTCTGTCAGTCCGAAGTGATTGAGGATTTATTGTGGATGGGGAAATATTGTGTTAGAGCATTATTGCTGGATTATATCCAGTACTGTATTTTATTGTTCCCAGTCCAAACCCTACATCTGATGACAGATTCTAAACTACTCCAGTGGCTCAGATTAAGCTCTATTCTCTTGGGAGACTATAGACATATTTATTGTATTGGGTAGAAGACATTTTTAATGTAACTATGTGTAGTTTTTCCCTCGGATATGTCTTTATATCAGATTTAATTGACAGTTTTAAGTCTACATCAAATTTATTTTCTGAAGCGGTCACACATCTAGTATAAATGCTAGGAATTAGATTGGAATCTAACTGAAAGGTCTGTATTTTTGTGGGGGGTTTTTTTTCATAGTAGTCCTCCCCTTTATCTTCCAGATTAGCGAGGAGTTTAGCTGGGAGCAGTCACATTTTAAAGATAAATGGGGTTGAATCCCACTTCCTGTGAACACAACACAATATGTGGAAAGGATCTTTGACTTGCAGCTGTCTTCAGCATCAACACCCCTAATTGATCTGGGGGACCTGCAGGTTGATGTGGCATATAGTGAGGGGGGGGGAGCTGCATTGGAAATGGGAAATTGGCAGAACATGAGACCTCTTCTGCAATTGTGCAAGCTCCTACTCCGTGCAAGAATTCATGCAATGGGGGAAGGGATTTCCATTAATTTCCCTCCTCTTGCTTCAAGAGCCCATGTTGTATCGAGAACCTTCCCCCATGTGTCCCTGACTCTCAGGAGCAGCTTTTCAGGGGACACAAGGGCAGAAACAAGGGAAGTGTGCCAAAGATTCTTCTGTGAATTGTGCTTTGCTAGCAGTAGTTTATACCCAAATCTAATTCGTAGATAAGTAAATAGAGAGAGCTGGAACATGAGTTCCCATTGCTTTATTTGGGGCTTCCAGTGGACTGCCAGAATTTAATATCTACTTCACAGGCCCCAA